GATGATGGCATCCAACGCCAATAAATAGTGGACGACTACCATTTATTTTTATTTTATATTTTAAGTTACTTTATATTAAATGATAATAAAAATGGTCACATCACACCAAAAAAATAATAAAATAATTCAAAGTGACCAAAATAGGAATAGTTCGAAAGTTCAGTGAATAAATTAGAAAAATCAAAAGTACAATGAGTGAAATATGAGAGAGAATATAGTTCGGTGAGGAATGGTGTAGTTTACCCATAAATTAAATATTTAATATAGAGTAGTAACCAAAAATTTTCCATTAACCAAAAATTTTCCATTAACTAAAGGTTCAAGGCTCCTACCTACCTCTATCTTCCGTCTGATTAAACCTTTTAATTCTTATATCATAGAATCTTAAAACAAGTCCAAAGTCTCCAATAGTTAGCATGGGAAGTACTTTGAAATGATATCTCCAAGATTTTCATTGTTGAAAAGTTTGAATACAAAAAACTAGTAAAGACAAATTATTAAACCTACCATGTACAAATTCCTTTTCAAATTGATATCTCCGAGATGTTTTGGACTTGTCACCAAGAAACTACCATATTATTGGATCTTAAAGTACAAATTTATTTGCAAAGATTCCAGTTATATATGTACACTACTTTGCATATTTGTGCGATATATGAGTTAATTATATGTATAAATTAAAATATATTAAATAATTTCAATATTTATGTTTAAAATTTTCACTATTTTATAAGTTTATTTTTTTCTAAAATTTTATAAATTCATGTCAACAAAATCTTATGTATATCTTATTCATCTAATTAAATATTATGTGACCATGCCTACCAATTTTCACCTCTCCTCCTCATGTCTCTGTTCCTTCTTCTTTACCAATTCATATAATTAAATCAACATATAATTTTGTGCAATTCATTTCCGTACCAATTTAAGACAAATAAAGTAATTAAAAGTGTCATATTGGAAGAAAATGTCAAATACAAGGACCAACTCAGTAATTAAGTCTTTCTTCCCCCCCCCCCCTTCAAAATCGACATTTAGTAAGGGACGAAAATGCAATATACCACCTAGTACTTTTACTCATTGATTGGTTTTGAATATGTTCATCAAGGTCATCCAACTATCAGAGATGATAGAAGGTAAGGGGACAAAGAAATTATCCTTGAAACTTTCTAGGAATCTACAAACTTTAGAATATAAGTAAAAGGTCGAAATTCAAATATATTTTTTTGATGCAAAATTTCAATATTAACATTACAGTTCAAGTGGAATCACACGGCTTCATTCATAATATTTCTAAAAAGATTCCATGAGCCATTTTTAAAAGGGTAGTTCTGAAATTGAAGGAAAGTTAGCATTCAATCAAAGAGTGAAAATTAAATAAAAGAGACATGTTCTGTAGATCCAATTGTTTAAATTTAAGATCTCTAATAATATTTTCTTTTATCATTAAGATAATTTGATATTTTTTTTGAATAGTCTGAGATAATTATATGGTAGTATATGTTTAGAACTAATATATGCCCATGAACTTTATTTAAAAGAGTGAAAATTAAATAAGAGGTACATTTGATAATTTTCTTTGAATAGTTTGAGGTGATTATAAGATAGTGGTTGTTTAGAATTTTCTTAATCAATTGTTCTCATAGAAATCCTAGGCTCGAGCAACTGTGTCACCATCGTCAACTAGATAAAGAATTATGAATATAAACTACTTTGTAAATTGTAATCACTCCATAATATTAAAAAAAAAGATAAATTTGTGATTTTAGTCTAAATTGGTCAGATTAATAAATATCAAGTTTAGATTTTTTTATGTAATTTACTTGGCCAAAAATCTATATTTTTTTTAATAAAAACTTATATATATTATAATTACCAAAGAATTTGACACAAATTCAAGGCCCTAGCTTATCTAACTTCTAAGTCCATTTTTGCATTACTCCCAAATCAAAGTACTACAATTGAAGAATTGCTGCAACATAGATCAAGTTTCCATGGTATTTCATGTCCATATATTAACTGTGCACAAAAATTATATTATAAATTTAAAATATTTTAAACTAATCCAATCTCACATTCTTTAAGGAAAACGAAATTGTATACATGTTCTTTACAAATAATTATATTTTGTTGAGTTTTTAAAGATCAAACTGACGTGTTGGATTTGCATGTATTAGATCTAATCCATCTTTCGTGTAGTCTTCTTATTTTTATTGGATTTAAAAAAATCAAGAATAATAAATGATTTAATTAGCAACTTTTAAGTTCAATTAAGGTAAAAAGTATTCTAACTCTTAGAAGTTTAAAACATGTTATCAAATATCAAACTTTTTATTATGGGTAAATTACACGTTTAGTACATAAACTATCAGTTTTGGTCTATTTTAGTATCTAAACTTTTATTTTTTAAAACCATACCTAATGTTTTTTTTGTTTCATTTTAGTCCCACCGTTAAAAACTTAACGGATGGGCTCACCGGTCGTCCCGTTTGCAGTCGTCGACCATCATATCCATTGATTGATGAAGGCCAAACTTTTCAACATGCACATTTTCGACTCCCTAAACGCGATTCTAGCATCCGTTTCACCGAGACCCGCCTCAATCTCTCCAAATCGACGATGAACTCTTCGATTTCTTCGCCCTCTGATCTCCATGGCCCATCGTCCTCTGATCTCCATGGCCCATCGTCAGATGGGCTTGAAAATGGACTATGTTGGTCGACTTATCATTCTCTCGTGGTCCACCGTTCAGATTGGTTGTTCGTTCACCGAAGCTATGTCATGTCAGCCCGTTCGTTAAGTTTTTAATGACGAGGTTCTAAAACGAAACAAAAACAAACGCATGTATGGTTTTGAAAAAAAATAATATGAAAGTTTAAGTACTAAAATATATCAAAATTGATAGTTTATATATTAAACACATAATTTTCCCTTTTATTATTTTTATCTGTACCACTACAAATATCAAACTTCATTTTCATTCTAAACACATAATATTAAATATCAACCTTTAAAGAACTTTTTAAATTATTTTTTTCAAAAAATCAACCTTGATTTTCTCAACTATTTTTTTATTCGATACTATTCCTATAAATATCAAATTTTATTTTCATTCTAAACACACAAAAATGTGAGAACACTTCCTCTTTCATTTGATATCTCATCCCTCTTGAGTTTACTGAATATTCCTATTAAGAATGATTGTTGCTCATTAGTATCGTTTCTATAACGAAACAACTTGTTGAATCATGAAGGATATATTATACACCAAAATATCTTTAAAAACATTATTCAACATACGCCTCTTGACAATGATTGTCGATATTATCAATGTTGTCATGAAGCCACTTAATTGTGTTACTGTGCATGCTCACTATCGTGCTGTTATTTGTAGCCCAACTTTAATATTGTTAAAATAGGTATACACTATTCCATTAGCTCTTTTGAGTGTTTCAATAGTTTTTATGAGTTGCACGAATTAACTTATCTTAGTGATTAACATAATCGTTGTTGTTCTTAGAGGTTATGAGTTCGAACACCAGTGATTTTAAGGGTGATTGGACGTTCATTGTCAAATGATTAAAAATATTTAGAATAGATATTACTTTATAATCACCATAGCTTAATAAATTTTTTTATGAGTTATAAAATAGATATGTCTTGGAATATTAATTTTATGGGATTAAAAAGTTGTGGCTAATAATAAAAATATCGATATACTATACTAATATTATAACTCAAATTCGAACTACCTGCTAACAAATCATCTAACTTCTTAACAAAAGCCCAATTAACTAATATCAAACATTAACATACTCTTAACATTCCAACAAACCCATCTATAATTTTATCTAATTACAATTAATTTACAACATTGCAGATTTACAAGATTAGACCTGATAAATTTAACTCATACTCGATTACCCTAATCAATTTACTTGAATCACGACTCGATATAGACCCGAATAGGATGACGTAAAATTGATCCGAAACCCAAAATAACCCAAAACGAACCGAAACCGACCCAAATTTTAGTTAGACCGAAATTAACCCGAACTGAAAGCAATCCAAAACTGAAAGAAACCCGAATTTAGTTTACTCATATCCGACCCGAACCGAATTTCAACGTGATAATTGAGTCTAAGTGAATGAATAATTTGTTTATTTTTTTATTATCTATTTTTAGCATTGATAAATAATAAAATGATATATGTTTTATTCTCATTTTATATTATACTACTAGTTAACCACCACTTTTAGTAATTGTTTAATGGTTCAAAAGTCAATTAAAATATTATCTCTAGAACTGATGCAATAATTTCTAACTCTGTGATAATATATATTCACATAAAATTCTTGATTTTAAAGATTTCTTGATTCAATTGATTTAAACTAAAAATTATAGGTCTGAATTTAGGATTTGACAATATATATTCACGTAAAATTCTTGAATTATAAGTAATAAAGAGCAACACCGAAAGTTATGAAGACAAAGAGCGACATCGGTTGAATTGAAAATTAAAAGGTTGACCCAAATTGACCCGAAAATCTAATGATTGACCCAAACAGAAGCCAACCAATTTGATATTGACCCGACCCGAAGCCAACAGATTCGATATTAACCCGATCCGATTTTGACCAAACTCGAACTAAATTTTCATTGACCCAAACCAGATCTGATCTGACCCAAATCGAACTTAAACCAAATACAATTTACAACCGAAATGACCCAACCCGAATCTAATCCGAATGACCCGATTTCCACCTCTATACAAGATACCCAAGCTAAGATATAGCTATTTTCCTATCTTTCTAATTCCCTCAATATAACATAAATATGGTACTTAAAAAGTTTTTCAAATACACAGTGAACTTTTAAAATTTGAATATATATCTAATCATAATCATATCGAGTATATTTATTTATATGCGAGACTCTTGCAGCCAAATCCTTGTAATGTAATATTATAGATGCAAATTCTGCACTTGTTCTTGGCAGATCATAAAATGAAAGAGGATTGTCTTTCTTGCAATTCAGTAGCAATTCCATCATAAAACAGCCTATAAAGCTCATCATCAGTGCCTGCTAATTCTTTGTTCTTGGGTTCATCATCTTCATCTGTACTACCGTTTTCAGCTTCAGCCACTTTTGCAACATTCTTTTCAACCAGTTCTCGAAACAAGGAAGATCGAAGGAGCAAACCCAGCGCAGTAGTTGATGAGCACTTGTTTGAGTTCATCACATGGATCTTGCTGCTTTCAAGAAATTCTTTATTTGATGAAGAGTTCAAGTAATCAGCAGCAAACAAGTGGTTGAAGGAGGGCTTATATTCCTCTCTTGGGGTACTGCATTGCCTTGGTAACATTGCCGCCTCAGGCTCTGCCGCCATTGGCAGTGATTCATTAGGCTTTAACCATCTGATGTAATTACTTAAATCAAAATTGGTCACTGCATTCATCCCTCTATATTCAATTGCTGCAATGTCGTAAGCTCGAGCAGCCTCTTCTTGAGTGCCTATAAACCACGGAAACTCTTTTAATTATTTCGATTCGAGTACAAGTGTCACATACGAAATATGTCGGATACGAGTCGGAAAGTATGAAACTTACTGTAAGTGCCAAGGTAGAGATATTTGTTTCCAAAGACTCTCCCTATTCTTGCTTCCCATCTTCCATTGTTGTGGTGCCTGCATGTTGTTATTCAAAGAAATCTTCAGTTGGCTTTAAAAATAAAACCTAAAAATGCAGACATTGGTGACCAGATTGAGAAGAAAAGTACCTTGCTACTCCCCTGTACTTGGATACACCTCTTGAAAACCCACTGCTCTTTCTGTAACAATTGATTTCATTCAGTAAAACTACTGACAGTAAAGGTTTGTGGTTGATAGATAAGGTCTCACCTTCTTAAAGAGGCCAAGTACTCCTCTTTTGTGAGGGTTTGCATTATTTCAATCTCCTTTTCATAACCTGGTAACTGCAGACATCATCAAGTGACCTACATTAGTTGTTTATCTACTAATTTTACTTTATATTATGTAAAATCAGTTAAATTTTTCATATATTTTAAAAGTTCTTTGATGGTTGATATATCCCTACTCATATTTGTTAAATGAATGAATGAGATATATATGTACTATACATACAGGAAAATTGGTGAAAGTGGAAGTCCCCCAATACTTAAGTGCAGCTAAATCATAAGCTCTTGCAGCAGCTTCTTCATCATCATAAGCTCCTGAAAAGAAAAGAAAGAGAATATTTTCTTTTTTATTTAGTATAGGAAAAAGATAATTGAAACTTGAATTACCAGTTTAGTGATGATATGTACTCACCAAGATAAACTGCATGGATCGATCCAAAAGAGCCGATTCCACCACAGGAATGAAAGGAAAAACATGTAAGTATCCTCAACTCATGATTACAATACAACAAAGATAAAGAAAGGATATTCAAATTTTTACTCGAAACCACATTTTAATTACCTTGTTTGCCTTTCTTCTTCTGTGTAACATTCCAAGAGAGCTTATCCCACAAATGGGCTTCATATCGACCAGTCCATCGATGCCTACTGACTCCACGAAACCTTGAACTTCTTTTCACAGTGGCGGCACTAGCTGCGGCGTTGCCTTGATCACATTGTCGCTGATGACCGTCTTGGTTGACGATATCGATCAATGCTGCTGGATCTCTTCGCCTTCTTTTGACACACCTTACGACTTCGACTTGGACTTGGACGTTCTCACCGTCAATGGAACACCTTCGGCGTCTGCCTAACCCTAGGTATTGTTCATCGGTAACCATCATCATTTCCATATCGATCTCTCTTAACCTTGGACGTTCAAAATTTTCTTCTTTTTCTTCTCTCTTTTTCTTCTTTATAGGGAATCATTAGGAAGTGTTCATATATAAATAATGTGCTTATCAAATTTGGAGTTATTATATTTTGTCATGGAGTTGTATAGCTGTATATTATTTTGTGGTTTAAAGCAAGTGCATCGATGATCACTATGGGCAATTAACAAGAAAAATGTACAAATTTCAGGTGGTTCATATTCTGTTTGCTAACCTTTACACAAGTGTACAAAAATGGTTTAATCATTTCATATTTGCTTCACCAAGCGGTTCGGTCATTAGAGATTGGCTATTATCTTTAAATTCTTGTATATATGAAAATGACTGAATCTAAAAATAAATGCAAAAGAATGAAAAAAAAAATCATGTTTAGGCCTATAAACGAACCAAATGAACACGAATGAGGGTATGGTCATGTTCGTTCGTTTAATTTTAGCCGAACAAACGAACGAACACGAACAACTAAACTAATGAAATTTCTTGTTCGTATTCGTTCGTTAAGGAATGTAACTTAATCGTGTTCAATCATGTACATTTGTTAAAATGATAAACAAACACAAACAAACGGACATAAAATTAATTGGGTTTGTATTTGAGATTTTTTTTCTTTCCACATAATTTTAGGGTTTATATATTTTTTAATTGATTTGGGTATTTTTTTATTTGAGTTTAAAATTATTTTAAAATATTAACGTGTTTAAGGTTAAAATCTATTAGATCTTAATATTTTAAATGAAATTGGAGATTATGTTGAATATAAACGAACACAAATGAACGAACATATTAACGAACGTTCACGAATGTAAATGAATGAACGAGCCCTTTTGTTTGTGTTCGTTCATTTAATTAAACGGACATAAAATCTTGTTCATGTTCGTTCGTTTAATAAATAAACAAACTTCCCGTCGAACGGTTTGCTTAACGTTCGGTTCATTTACAAATCTAATCATATTAGAAAATGTTAATCAAAAGAAGTGACAATAGATTTATTTCTCATGTACAATCACTTGCTCTAGAGATTGATGAATGACGTAACTTTTGTATATATATATATAATTCTAGGGTGAATATAAGGTATTATTTGTTCAAAGACTTTCAATCATTTGACAATGATTTTTCATACTTCAGGTATACACGATGCTCGAATATGAAATTTTAAATAAAAACAATAAATCTCTTAACTATTAAGATCGCTCGGTTGATGCCATAACTTTTAAATTAAGAGTATAATTAAGAGTATAGTATTTTATAGGTTGAGTGTGGGTGTGACACTCTTACCAAACATATATCCCATTCTCATTATTGAGTACAGGCGGTGGGTAGCCTGTGGGCAGGATGGGAGTCTGTTCCCCCTGCGAAGCTCTAATTGACTGAGTTTCCTATGAAATCAACCATCACAATATTCTTGTACACAAATGTAAATTTGTATTATTTTATTTAAAGTTGAAGAGTAAAACAAGAAATTCCCCCTGGATTCTACTTCCAGTAAAAAAAGAATAATTAAATAAAAAGCATAAATACTTGTTTGTTTTAACTGCTCACTTCTTCGGCAGTCCACTGTTTTTTACTTAAAAATGTATGAAATTTTTATTAATAACATGCCATAGCCCCATTGACTCATTGTTAATTTTTCTTTCCTTGCCATAAATTCTTTGAAATTATGCCATAAAAATATTATTGTTTAGGTTACCACAAGATTATTATTATGAAATTATTTAATTGAAATTTACATGAATAGGTTGAAGGTTCATATGATTTGATTTTTGTTGTATGTTATGATTTGAAGGTATATTGTTAGGAAGATGACGAGTTCATTGTGAGAAGGCAGCTGAAATATGTTCATTGACAATGCACAAATATCTGTAGACGCAACTGTTCAAATCTAGGATCTTTAAGAAAAATAACATTCCCTTTAACTACTGAGACTACTTGATAGATTCACAAAAGAGAATGTTAGATATAATAGTATTGTAAAATAAAAACATTAGTAATGACTATAATAAATAGATTAAAAAAATTAAATTAATTTATCATGCCGTTTGTAAAAATCTATGTCTTAAAGTCGATTTCGTTCTTATTGTAGAGATCGTTAAAAAATACTATCGCCCCCTAATGTGACACCCACATCTGGTCTAGTAATCTTACTCGGATATAAGATGTTATATTGGAAAATACAAGCAAAAACATGGCTAAATTGAAATTTAATATGCACCAAATATTTTGTTTATACAAGAAACATTGAAGAAAACGCCCGAAATAACATTTAAGAGCGATTAAGAGAAGATGTCATTTAATGATCAAATTAAAATTTTTGAAAACTTTAAAGACTGAATTATAATATGAAAAAAATAGAAATTTAAAAGTTTCTAGGGTGTATATGTGATTAGCAAAATATTATCACTGATATTCATCATGTCAAGTTTTATACGTACATGTATTCATCATGTCAAGTTTTATACGTACATGTATTCATCATGTCAATCATGGCTCACATTCTAGCATTTAGCTAATATTTCTTAAATTTTATAGCTTTCGCATAATTTATTCATAACATGTATACATAGCATGCAATGTACGAGTCTTTCATCATTCTTAATAGCCATATGCATGTGACACACTTTTATTTCACGATCAATGAACGTTGTTAACCCTTCGTTCCAAACGTGACAATCACATTTCTCATTAATAGCCTCAAATCAGTATTATATCTCCTGTTATTATGATTCCCATCACATGTAAGGAGAGCAAAAACAATCGTACATTGGTTCCTCACATCACAATAATTATTGTGGAGGGTCTTATTCACGTCGATATTTCATTTGGTGCTTTTGATCATAGAAATTTTTAGGGCGTTTGAACTCTTTCCTTCTTTAAAAAAAATTGTCTTTAAATTTGTAAGAAGGGTATTACCTTTTAAATTTAGCTTAAACGTTACGATCTGAAATTTAAATATCACATTAGTCATCTAAATGACCCGTAATTCAATTAAAAATATTTAACAAATTATGTAAAAAAAAAAGCGCAACGTTAGTAATTTATAATGGAGGAATGTTTCGGGTTTCGGGTTTCATGTCACTATTGTTGCTCTTTTCTCATTTTCACTAAACTCTATCTATGTAAAGTAGGAAATTACACTTTAATTGAGTATAGATTATCAAGAGTGTTCACATATAATCTTTCTGCTTTCTCTATTTGAGTAGTTAGAGTTAAGGCTCAACATACATTTCTCGTTTGTTTGATCATGTTTTATTTATGTTTGTGTTAATATGCGTCTGTCGTCACCGTTTTTTTTCAGGTGGGGAAAAGATCAATATGATTTGGAGTTTTTCTTTGAAAAGATTTTGAAATGTTGGGAGTCGCCACCAATAATTTTAAGGTGTGATCGAGACACCATAAAAACCAGTTGATTTTAATAAAATATTTTATTTTTATCAAAATATCAAGTTTAGGGTATACGAAAACCAAAAAATAGGTTCGGGAGTCAGTTAAGTGTGGGGAATGATTAGCACCCCCCACAGCGCCAAAATATCGGTACCTAGTGATTACACTATATTTAAAATTAGAAATTTTGAGTTTGAACTTTATTTAATAAAAAATTCACTATGGATGCACAATGTTCGTTTATTTAAGCCAATAGTGTTTGCTCCCTAGCATGAATGCGGGGGGTCAACTATTATGTCCAATAATCGGACATTGCCTTGATTTTAAGAAATCATGATGCATTCTTAAAAAGGATGTCAACCTACTTTGGGAATCACTAGTAGTCACCCCCTGAGCATACCTACGGTAGGTATACCATTGATTCCTTGGTAAATCAACATATCCTTAATTGTGAAATAGAAATGCAATCAAATAACCAATTATGTCAACCTAATTATGATAGGTAATTAATTAAGGCTTCCCCTAACCTAAAATGTCAAATTATGAAGCTTAGAGAGCCTAAAGGTTTAGACCTAAAAATGGAGGCTCTAATATTAACCATAATTGATTTTTACCAATTATTTAGTCGAATAATCGAACTGGTCCTTCGAGCATATCAAATGTGGAATCCAATTCAGATTATTTCCTAATTTAAAGACTAAGTGTAGTTCTATCTAAAATGGAAGCTCTTATTAAAAATCCTAATTAATTATGATCACTAATTATTAGGAGTTCCAGTGTAATACCCCAAATAGTAGGTCATTTACTAATTTGAAAGGAATTAAAAATTCGGAGGACTAAATTTAGTAAATGGTAAAGTATAAGAAATGACTTAAGTAAGACCAATTTGTAAGAGATAGATTAATGAAATGACATTTTGGTCTTTTTAAGTGAAATGAATTTAAAACCCATTTAAAATTAGGGATTTAAGAAAAAGGGAAAAGTGAAAACCTATGCTAAGTTAGTTTCCTCTTTTTCTTATTCTTCTCGTGGTTGAGAGTGTTCCTCCATAGCTTAAGGTAAGCTTCATCTAGCTAATGTTTTCTTTTGATTTTGGTTGGTTCTTGTAACCTTAAGTGATATGTAAGCTTAAGGAAAGGTTATATAAGATTAAAACTATGAGATGGAGGAAATAATAGAGAATCAAGAAAATGGGTTTTGAAATGATATGCTAAGATATGAGTGTTTATTGATGTTTACTAGTAGATTTGACTTTTCAAAGAGGTAAATGAGAGATTAGAAGCATTGGATGAGTTTAAAAATAATTTAGAAAATGTGGTGTGATTCTTAGAAACAAATGATCTTGAGGGATGCTAGATGTTTTAAGTAGCTAAAAGAAGGAAAGTTAGTATGGATAAGTAAAAAAGAGTTAAATAGTATTGTTGGGGGGTAAACATAAGGAAATTTGAACAAATTTGGGTATATTTTGGGTTGGAAAATGGAAAATCTAGATAATGGTATCGGTACTGATAGAAGAGTACCGATAATGTAGGCTAAAATAGGAAGAATCAACACCGATACCAAAAGGGGGTATCGATACTATGAGGAAGGTATC